AGTATATTTGGGTAATCCCTCAAGGTTTCGAGGATAAACGTAACAATATCAAGTTTACTGTTGATAGAGAGAGAGAGAGAAGCAACGGCAACATCACCGCCATGCGGTGGTGAGTTTTCGTTAACACACGAATCCCATAAGGTAGATCGTGTCTGCGTCAACCTACGTCTACGCTACGTCGTTGGGTTTTGATTTTTACGTAAAAATGGTAAAGCAGTGCAAGTGTGCATAACTGGGCTATATATATATATATATATATATATATTTTGGGTGCCGTTCAGAATGTGGTATCATAAACGACAATGTCCTAATTGTCAAAGGGCCGGTTGTTCAATGTCTGGTTATCACTACCTACCAGTTAAACATAATAATCGACGATTTCGACGCCATATAAAACCGGAGCTTCTACCTCCGATTTGTGTTAACCCGGCATTGAACAACCGGCCCTAAGTGAGCCCCAGTTACAAGGGGCTGCCACCTAACCTAACCTAACCTAACCTAATAGGCTGACGCCCAGTATTTTGGAAAATTAACGGAATACTCAATATTTTTGCCTTCGGCGTTCAAAAGGTCGTTGCTAAAGGTCGTTTACTCAAGGTCTGGTTAACACTTACCTCTGTTTTAACATCATTACCGACGTCTTCGACTCCATGCATATAACAGGGAGTCGGTAACGGCGATAACGATGTTTTACCGGAGATTAGTGTTAACCAGATATGGAGAGAACGGCAGTAAGTGCCGGTTGTTCAATGTCTGGTTATCACTACTTCAAGGTTGAAAGTGTAAAGGCCGGTTGCTCAAAGCCTTGTTGACACTAATAGCAGGTTAAACATTGTTATCGACGTTACCGACACTGTTATATGCATGGAGCCGAAGACGTTGATAACAATGTTAACCAATGATTAGTGTCAATCAGGATTTGATCAACCGGCCCTAGCACAAAAGGTTTGTAGGTTTCTAGCAGTGAATAATCTGGTAAGATCAGAGAGTTAGCCAATAAGCTTAGTCGATGTCGCCAAGAAAGTGCAGTCTTCAACTTAAGGCAGTTTAGCCTTGTACAGATTAAGCAGAGTGGGGAAAGAACTCTCTCTTTAGGATCCGTGCTTAATCCTGTGGTTTACTCTTAGCGTTGGGGAATTCGACTGGTAGCGGGAGTCAGCACAGATAAAAGAACCGTAATGTCACAAGGTCGACGTTGATTGTGGCCCTCACTAATTTGTATAATGATGGTAATGATGAAGAGGTAGTTGGTGTCGTGGGGGGAATATGGACATGCTGGACACCCATTAGGGGAGTTCGGGTCGAGTCTGGATCGGAAACGGTTTAGACGGTAACTGGGACAGTTGAAGCTCACTCTCGTCAAATGGTGGTTGGACATTGATGATTGTTAGAGTTACATATGTTGCTCCTATGAGACGTGGAGGCTTTTTAGATGTTGGTAGAGGCCGGCGCATTGCTCAAGTTGTAGGTTGCCGTGGAGGTAGTTGTTGCCACTTGGTTTGAGCAATATGGAGTCACAAAATAGAAGACCCACTCATGAAGCCTAGGGTCTGAACAGGTGGAAAAAGTCTGCTCAAGAAATTTTAGTTGACTGAATTGTAGGAAGAAAATTAACAACACACCCCACCCCTTCAAATACTAACTACTTTAAACCCACTCATCTGGCATACCTCTGCCGCTGGTCCGACAATGTCCATTCTGCGTATTTCCTAGGCCACACTTTCTAGTACAACTTTTGAGCATTTCACCGAACAACATACAGGATAGCTGCAACGCCGCTGCAACGACAGCAATTTAGCAACCTTTTGCTCACCTGTTTGAGCGTACAGATGTCCAGTCATGACAATTTTTTTTGAAAACTTTCCCTTTCTTTTGTAGTTGAGCAGTAATTATGACCCTCTATTGCATGAACATTAGGACTAAGTGGAAGAATCTCAAACAAATAAAAAACGCCTCCAAGTCATTATTTGTCTCCTGAAATACAAAATGAATTTATCGAATGCTGTGCTAGTCAAGGCAAACGCAACCCCTAATTCGACGCATATTGAGCGGATGGTTTTCATTTGGCGTTATGTTTTATTCGACAAGGACCCTAGCAAATGGGAAATCCCACAACGATTCTCTACAAAATCACAATATTCCACTGGCTGACTGTCGTGGGCAAGGTTCTGACAATGGTGGTAATATGAGCGGTACATTACAAAGGAGCACACAGAGTCATATTCTGAGAGATAACTTTCTGACAACATTCGCACGTTGTGCTTGTCATTGTTTACATCCATGTGGAACTCATGCAGCTGAAGGTTGTATAGAGTCGTCAAGTTTTTCGGCACAGTAAAGAAATTGTATACTATTTTTAGCATAAGCCTTCTGAGAAGGGAAATTCTCCAGGAGGAAACTAAATGTTCCCTGCACAGGATATCAGAAACAGCTACGGATCTGAAGGGTATTGTAAAGTATATGCAGAGTGGCCTCCATTTGGCTCAAAGTTTTTACGGCGATAAAATTAAAAAAGTAACAACTAATTTTTAAGTAAAAAAACCCGACTTCGATTCTCATATAAAAATTTTAGATTATCGTTTATTTCTTCATGATCCAATGATCGGATTTATACCAAATGAGTATGGTTTCCATTAAAAATAAAAAAAATTTTAGCTTTTAAATTTAATTTGAAGCAACTTACCGTTGAAGTACTTACCGCTGATTTTTGGCAATTGTGGCGCATTTTTTTCCATACTCAAAAAAATTTGATTAAGAAGTTGAAATTTTTGATCAACATTTCTTAAAATTCGTCGAAGTTTGAAATTTTGATTCACATGTTTCTATATTTTCATGAAAAATAATAAACATTTTTTAATAGAAAAGTAGCAAAAACCTGCTAAAATTTTACTTTCCCTTTTTTCCTACATACATTGGTGCCACCGAATTTTTAAATTAATATTTTGTAAATTTTGCTCCGTTCATTATTACGTACTTTAATGCGCGATTACAAATATGTAAGTACTACATATATTTTTACGTACTAGACGCTGGATATAAAGAAATTATTTATTATCCAAATATTTACTTAAACTACTGATATTCAAATACGAGCTCACTCCCCTCGCAATTTCGCTCGATCCATTCATCGAAACGCTGCGAAGCCTCTGTTGAAAAATAATTTTTCCAATCGCCGATTTCACCTTTCCGAATGAATTTAGTCTCTCCATCGCCATAATTGTGGTCGATATTATTGTTCTGCCCATCGGCGACATTCTTCAACAAAGGCTCCAAATTGACAGCAGGATTCGCCTGCATTTTATCGAATTTCAAATGTTCACAAATGCGCGTCAAGTCCTCGTCGGTAATTTGATAGTCGACATCGAGAAACTTTGCACAACTGCGCACGATTTTCGGCAGATCGCGTTTCATGTCCTCGTATTTTAAAAATAAAATATTTGGCTCATTACGGCGCTGCCAGAAGGGTAAAGCGTGGTTCCAGTAGGAACCCATCGGCGAACGCTCATCCAGAAATAGTTCAAGGAAGTCTTCGAAAGGTCCTTTCAAGCCATGCACCAACTTGCAGTAGTAATAGAAGGAGACGCACAGGTCCTTAGGATTTCGCGCAGTGTATATAATCTGGGAAAAAAGGGTATGCATTTGCTGTGGAAAACGTGTAGATTATTTTATTTTTTAAACTTTTCTTACTTTGGGCTTCACACTGTCGAAACCTCGCGGCAGCAAATCCCATGTTAAATGCGAACGACCGAATCGTGGGCGTGGCATGTCTCGTACAACGTTAACGGTGTTGCCAATTGAATTTCTATGGAATTTGTAAAAACAAAACTATTACAGCATATACGCTAAATACTTGCACCGACTTGGGTTCCACTTACGAGACCCATTCATGATGATCCTCGCTAAAAAGCGCCGACAGTTCAATCAATGGCGAGCGTAACTGCTGCATCTGCTTGGCGCCCTCAAAGTCCAGTTTGTTGCCTAGCAACCAGACCATCTCCTGTGCCCACGTCGAACCAGTGCGCGGATAGGATATCATCCAAATATCATCTTCGTAAATCGGCAATTCCCGTATGGATTCCGCAATGTTCATGAATTTACGCGGCAGCACCACATGCCCAGGCAGCACCTCAATGAAACACTCCTTCTTCGGAAAGAGCGCATCGATGCGCACGGCAATGTCTTTATCCAATTCTTTAAATGTCAGCTGCATGTCTCAGGCGTGTTTTTGTGATCTCAAGGAGTGCAGACTATGTCACATCCGTTTGCGTTGAGATCTCGCTTATAACTATTGCACTTGCTAGTTTCAAATTCGCATCGAAATGGCAAAATCATTGCAATGTCTACGATGTAGCAGTTCACGATTAGAGGACAAAAGGTGGCGCCGGCGCGATCGTTGTATTAAAAATTTACTATGTATGCGTGGTGTGCAAGTTTGTGTTTAATGTGTATCTTTTGCCCGAAATTGGTGGGAATGACAGTGAAAGCAAAATGCAAGGCATTGGCTTTTCAATTAAATTTTCCACAGCTTCGCCCGTAGCAGCGGCAATTGGATGCACAAGAAACCGGTTGAAAATGCAGGTGAATATAAACAAATCTACATACATATGTTCATACATCTAAGTAAGTGCACATTTAGTTAAAACCAATTTCGCTATTAATCACAGACCGCATTCCCCTTCAGCGCAGCGCACCTCCCATCGGTTGTCTAAAAGATAGTTGTTTGCAGGAGTTAGCCATACCGCAAGTCTCTTAACAGATAGAGGCGCGATTTTCATTGTTATTATTTCTCGCTACGTGTTTCCACAGCGTTTGATATCGGATGTTACGTGACAGGTCTTAGTCACAAAATGATCCTCAAATAGTGGTGAATTAAGCCCAAAATAGTCCTGAACAGATCCCGAAATGATCTGGAACTATGTAGTTGCGAAATGGATCTAAAATAGCCCGGAACCAGGCCTGAAATGTTCATTTGTAGACACCCATACCGAGAGCTAAGATGTTTGCACATCAAATGCCCCGCCCTTTAAACAAAGGAAAGTACGGAACTATAACTAAGGTACTCAGTTTTGAGGCATATTTATTTATGTAAAATTAAGAAGAATTTAATTAACAATCCTAAATCATTTTATGGTTTCGTAAATTCAAAGCGTAGGGCACATGGTTTTCCGTCCACTATGTATTATCGCAACACTGTATCTAGCGACAGCCAACTAATTGCCAACATGTTTGCTCGGTTCTTTAGGTCCAATTATTCTGTAGACTTCCCTATAAGTGGAGACTATCCGTACGAGCTTTGTCCAATCAACTCTGCTTATATTCCAGTAATATCTTCCGATGAAGTTTTACACTATTTAAAAACCTTAAAAGCGTCAGCCTTTAACAACTCTATTCAATTTGTCACTTAAACATGGCGTTTTT